GAGGGGGAGGACCCGGGGCGGCCGAGGGACCAGCCTTGGCCTCGGGAGGGGCGGGACCGGCGTGGAGGCCTGAGGGCAGAACCCCGGAGGCCGGAAGCTGAGCTGGGGGTCCGCGGGTGGCTGGGGGGTGACTAGGGACGCCGGAAGCAGGAGAGTGAATGAATGGGAATCCTGGTGGCTGAGGGGAACGCGGAGGAAAGGGGGTCTGGCGAGGCAGGGGCCACGTTAGGGAGCTCAGGAGACAAGGTGTGTGTGAATGGGGGGCGCGGGAGGCAGGAAGGGGTGTAGGACGAGAGGAGCAGGGCTGGGGGGCGCAGGGGTGCGCAGGAGAGGTTTCCTGGGGAAAGGGCTGGGAGGAAGCAGTCGGAGGCACCTTCGGGTGGCCTTTCAGGATGGAGGAGTCATACCGGCTCGTGCCCAGCACCGTCCTGGGGAATTTGGGGGACCAGGATTGGTTCCTTTGCCACAAACTCGGGGGGGTTGGATCCGCGGGGCCCCGTTTGACATTCTCCCCAGAGAAGACTTCAGCACCTGTCTCCAGGGTGCCTCTCATGGGCCCCCCAGCTTAGCCTTGACTCCACCCCCTCTGCATCGAGTCGGACCACACAGTGACTCTCAGCAATCTGTCTCATCTACAGCCAGCAGCCAGCTCCTCCCATCATCCTGACCTCTGGGAGGACCTTCCCTTCCCCTGGGTTCCAGGTCACCTTGTCTGAGGTGCCCCCGCTCCTGCTTCTCAAACCCAATTTGCAGTGCAGCTCCTGGCTTTGGTGGGTGTCTGCCTGTCCATATCCAGTGGCCTCAGGGATGCAGGGAGCTACAGTCTGCAAATCAGGGTCGCCCCCCCCCCCGAAGTGTTTCCTAAAAAGCCATCCCCTCTGTTTGCGTTCCAGCCCAGTGTTGAGCTGAGATGGCCCGAGCCTGACATTCCATGATCCAGGATCCGGACGGGCGTGGACAGGCTGCTGCCGTGGATGATTTAAAGCGAAGAGTTGGTCCCCGAGAAAGGCATTCCCTCTGCCTGGATGTGTGGGGACTCCCTGCCGACTTGATTGGTGGATCTGGGGGGGATCCACCCCCACCCCTGGAGGAAGGCCTTCTGTTTCGTGGGTGGAGCTTCGAGTGCCAGACAGCCGGAGGATGGCCACCCCGGTGGTCACCAAGACGGCCTGGAAATTGCGTGAGTGGCTCTCCTGTTTTCTCTCTCCCCCCGTGTATCCTGTGAGCTGTTTGTTGCTGGGGGGAGGGGGAGCCTGAACCCCCAGCTTTGTCTCCTATTCTTGGCGCAAGGGGAGACCCCCCCGGGCCTTGGAGTAAGAGCAAGATGCCAATCCTGACCTTGGCACTTGGCAGGTAACACTGCCCGGGGGACTTCACCTCCCAGGCTTCGTTTCCTGTCTGCACGGCAAGGTGTCACGTCTACGTTGCTGTGAGACTCAAGTGAGAAAACACATATAATCAAGCGCTTAGTGCAGGGGTTCCACTGAGGCTGACAGGCGAAGGGGGCGAGAGTCCTGAAAGATGTTCTTGACGCTTTCAGGCATCTCACTAGTCAGATTTCCGCCATCAGCTGAGGGCACCCTGGGACGGAGGGCCAGGGTGAGAGGGTTGGCAGAGGGACGCTGACCGGGCTCTGCGATGCGCCTGAGCGTGAGCACGACCCCTGCCGCCATCACTGCCTATGGCAGCGCCAGACCCTGATCCGGGGACCTCTTTGTACTCCAAGTACCGAGGACCCCAAAGGGTTCTTGTTCACGGGAGCTCACTATTCACCGCGTCAGCGATACCGAGACATTTCCAAACAAGAACACAGAGTGCAACATGCCCTTGATGATGATGTCATCACATCGAGCATCTTCTGGAAAACTATGTTCTTAGGAGCAAACAAAGGCGTCAAAGTCAGTTACCATCTTAGTGTTGTTAGAAAACAGTTTTGTTCTCTGGGACCCCCTGGGAGGATCTCGAGGATCCCCTGTGAGGACTGCGGCCCTCCTCGCCGGTGCCTCTGTGGGTCATTCCCCGTCTGTAGTGACTGGTGGGTATAAACCTGGGGCCCAGACTGGTACCCTGTGCTGTGAACTGGCCCTGGGCTGTTGTCAGGAGCTGGGGCCAGGCCTTCACTTTTCAACTGCGGGAACTTGGGCGAAGCTCTTTGCTGGGCCTCAGTGTCCTCGTTTGTAAAATGAGAGGTTTGGACCATTTTCAAATCGTTCCTCTAAGCCCGGGAGTTCTGGGAGAATCCTGTTACCAGCTCCCAAGGAAGGTACACTTTGGACAGCGTGGCTTTCTGTTTATTAGGGTTATGTACCTACCCCTTCAGCAGCTGGTCTTTCCTGAGCAGAGAACCAGGCACGAGGGAGGCGGTCGGGGGCAAAAGAGACAAAGGTCCCTGTGAAATGGGGTCCAGAGCCTGGGAGCACGCCCCTCCGTCTCTCCGTGAATTCTCAGCTGGGCTGTGCTTTGAAGCGGTTACCTGGTGATGGAGAATCGGGTAGGGGAGTATTGTAGGCTGCCTAAACTGCGTGCAGAGGCCCTGGCAGGAGCTCAGGGCGGCAGCACAGCCTTGGGGAGAATGTGGTGCCCCAGAGGCTGGTGAGGACCCCACCCTTTGACGCTTTGCTTTATCTGAAAGGCAAGGCCGAGCCATCCGGTGTTCAGGTGGGCGGTGACGTGCTCAGGCATCTGAGTTTCAGCGCACAGCACTTTAGCAGACTGAGGCCTCCTCGTTACCCCAGGGCGTCGGCATGGTAGGGTTTTCCCCCTGAGTGGGGAGACCTGTCTTGTCTACTCCTCCCTCCAGGAAGGAACTCACTCAGGGAAGAGCTGGGAGACCTGAGCGGCCTCTTGGTTCCTTGCCTGTGTTCTGTTTCCTTTGGAGCATTGATGCCCCTGGGGCTGTAGTCTGCTGCCCCCACTGCTGCCCCAGCCGTCCAGGCCAGGGGCCCTTGTGGCTGCCCACAGTGACCTACGTCCCTCTCTCTGTCTGGTCAGCCCTCACTCCCACCCCGTCACACCCAGACCTCTCAGTCGGCTGCCTCTTGCCCCCACTCCTCACGCAGCCCACCCACCTCTGCCCACCTGGGGCCCCAGTGCTCTCTGTCTTGGTGGTGCCTAGTCCTTAGCCTGCCTAACAACCACAGAGCACTCACTGCCTACCCAGCAGCTCACAGGCACCTTCTCACTGAATCCTCAGCAACTCACTGAGCCAGGCACTGTTGTTATTATTTTTTTATTTAAAAAATATTTTTATTGATTTTAGAGAGGAAGGGGGAGAGAAAAAGAAATATCAATGATAGAGAATCAATGATCGGCTGCCTCCTGCATGTTCCCTACTGGGGATGAAACCCGCAACTCGGGCATGTGCCCTGACCGGGACCTGAACTGTGACCTCCTGGTTCATAGGTCAACGTTCTGGCAGTGTTATTAGTAACTCCGCTTACCAGATGAAAAATCGAGCATAGTCAGTCAGTAATATTACCAGTTAATGTGCAGAAAAGGAAAGAAAATCACGAGGTCTAAGGGTGAGACAGGTGTCAGTGAAGTTGAGAAACAGTCATTTCTGTCTCAGGCCCAGGCCCTACCTTGTCAGCAGGTGTCAGAGGGGGTGTCTGGGCACCAGAGGGGAGCCAAGGGGCAGAGCCCTCGAGAGGGGCTTCTGGTGCCAGAGCCGATGGCCGAGCAGGGCCAGGCCCTCCCCTCCTCCGCGTGGCCCATCAAGCCCCCTGACTGTGGCCTGACTGTCTTCCCCTCTGTCCTTTCCTGTGTAGAGGAAATCGTCGCCCACGCCAGCAATGTGTCCTCACTGGTGCTGGGCAAAGGCTCCGGGCGGCTGCTGGCGACAGGAGGGGACGACTGCCGCGTCAACCTGTGGTCCATCAACAAGCCCAACTGCATCATGGTGAGCCTCGCCGGCCGGGGGGCGGGGACAAGGGGCGGGAGGGGCCTGTGGGCAGGATGGGGTAGTGGTGAGGCACCCTGTCCTCTGGGTGCCCGTCCCGAGGGTAGGGGACACAGCAGAACATCCATGCCTCCCCCAGCTGTCGGCTCAGGAAGGCCCAGGGCAACCCCAGATGGCAGCGACAGTGGCCCATCCTCGGGCATGGGGTGTCACCTGGCTGTGGACAGCGCTCCAGTGTGAGAGGCTAAATGAGTGGAGCCTGCCCCCGCTCTGCCCAGGGCCCGTCCACCCACCCGGCAGCTGTGTGTGGGGTGACTGATATATTCCCACCTCGTTCCACTGAAGGATTTCAGGCGCCTTCCTGGGGTGGGCAGAGAGCTGGTTCTTTATCAGACTTCCCCTGGCTGCACAGCTACATTCAGTGCTGAAAACTGTTCCAAAACAGGAAACCACGAAGAAGGAAAAATGCAAAAATGAAAGATACATAGTCCCGTTATCCAAGACCACTGCAGTTGGCTTTTGGTCTGTGTCCTTGTAGGTGCTGATATCCACAGACATGCACATGCACACATGTGCAGACTTGTGCATTTATGTCACACACACATGCCAACACACACACATGTGCACACACAGAAATAAATAGCAATATATTTCCAGAATGCTCTCTCACTGTCCTGTGGCCTGGTTTTTAAAAAATACAAAACGCAAGCATTTTCCTGTGTCAGAACATCTCCTTTAATGACATGATTTGTAATGGCTTTGTGGTGTGCCATGGAGTGAGCTGGCATTGGCGTGGCCCCGCCCTGTTCCCGGCACGGAGGTCACTTGCAGCCTTTTGACTCTGCTCAGTCACGCGGTAAACGTCCCCATCTGCTAAATCTGTGAGCAGATCTGTGATGGTTGCATTAAATCCGAGGGTGTGCACTTTTCACAAAGCTTTCAAGACCTGTTGTCAAATTGCCCTCCAGAAATCCATCCACATTCCCACCAGGAGCACGGGCCTCGCTCTCTCCCCACACAGCCCCACAGCACGGGGTGGAATCGCACTCCTGACTCTTGGCCAGGTCAGGATAAAGAATAAATAGGAGGTGGTATTTATTAGTAGAGACTTAAACAGCTCATTGACTTGGAGATTCATCAGAGAACCGAGATCTGACCCAGACCACAGCCAGGGGTCCAGATGATGGCAATTGAGTTCAGAACAGAATTGAAATCCCTTTGTTTTGTTTCCCTTTGTTTTTAAGTTTAAATGTGCCCTGCCCCTGAATGACAAAGTAACGTACACAATTTGAGAAAACTCAGCAAAGACCGACCAAAAGTGGACATGAGGTGAGCCCAGGCGCTCGTCCTCAGAGAAGCACAGGGGACAGTTTGGGGTCTAGACCTACCTCCTCACACCTGGTGCAGCCACAGGCCCCCAAGGGCCTCAGCCGAGCTCCCCCCTCCCCCAGGCTCTCCACAGACCAGGCCTTGCAGGGCCTCAAATCTGCCGAGTTCTTTCTCACCTCAGGTCTGTGCTCTGCGGCTCCCGCGGCAGCAGTTCACTGATCTGTTTCTGTGCGTTTTGGAGTGTGTGACCTCATGTTCAACGTCCAGATGATACTCGGTCAACAGTGAACCATCTCCTTCCCCTCCCCCACCTCCCTCCCCGGAGACAGCCTCGCTCCTGCTTCCTGTCCTTCCATCCTTCCAGAATGACTTCCTACGTTCAGGGGCGGATGTTCATGTCTGCTTCCCTCCCCCCTTTATACCAGTGGCTTCACACTGTACACACTGTCTCCATCTCTTTCCACCTGTGCGTGTCATGGAGGTTAGTCTGGACCATAGGCTGCGGTTGCCCCGTTGATTGCATGGGTGACCATGATGACAGTGTCCTGGGACGGGTATTTGTGTTGTTTCCGGCCTTTGGTCCAAGAGATTCGCTGCAGTGAGTGACCGTGGGTGTGTTGTACACGTGTCCCGCGTGTGCGGGAATGGGCGTTTCTCAATGTGGGTGGATATGCCCAGTGCCCTCCGTGGAGTGCGTACCCAGGGATACTCTGCCAGTGACATTTGGGAGTCGGACCAGCTGCTTGTAGCTGTCTGGCCGTGGGGAGGTTCCACTGAGGAGCAGTTTTCCCTACTGTCCCCAACCCCCAGGGGGAAGGGTGTCAGCAAACACTGATGGTGTCACTATGATGCTGGGTGGAAGTGACAGGCACCATGGGTTCCAGATCCGGCCTCTCCAGAAGGCTGGAAACGCCAGCACTTTCCTCCTCTCCTTCCTGGGCTCAGCCTGGCCCAGCTCCCCAGCTCTGAGTTGGGGGAGACTCTGTGTTTGGCAGCAAAGTCACTCCCAAGCTGCGGGTTCTGAGAGCCCCTCCTGGGAGCGTGGCTGGGTCCTCCAGCGGGGACAGCGCGCGGAGACCCAGGCATTTCGGAGGGGAGAGAGGGGTGCCGCCTCACTTCTGCCATGGTTCCCCTCCTGAGGTGCACGGGTCAGCAGAGCATGAGATGGAACAGAGCCCCGTGGGCCGTGGTTTGGACTCAGGCTAAAGGGTCAGCTGCCCCCCCCAAGGGGCCCAGGGCCATTTCTGCAGGTGGCGTCTGTCAGGAGCACAGTGAGCAGTGGCAGGGGTTGGAGTGTGACGGGGTCTGGCCCACGTTTAGCCCTGCGAGCTGAGGCCGGAGAAGCGGCTGCTCAGCCGTCCGTCTCTTGGGCCACTTCTCGCTGACACACTTCCTGGGGACCCATAGTTTGGGGCAGCAGCTGGGGGTCTGTCCACGAAGTGCACTGAAGCTGCCACCCTCTCTCCCCAGAGCCTGACGGGTCACACGTCCCCGGTGGAGAGTGTCCGCCTCAACACCCCCGAGGAGCTCATTGTGGCCGGCTCCCAGTCGGGCTCCATCCGCGTCTGGGACCTGGAAGCTGCCAAAAGTAGGTGTCTGCGCTCAATGCCCCTTCCCCAATGCCCCCTGCCCCCTGCACCCTGCAGTCTCGGGCTCCTGACCCGTCGCTTCCTCCAGGAAGCCCATCCTGACTAGGTGGGGTGCTTCCGCCTTGGGACACTGGCCAGAGTGGTGACCCCACCCGCCCCCATCTCTGAATGCTGGCACCAAGGAGGCGCCTGGTAAATGTCCGAGTGGACAGCTGTGTGGATGGGCGTGTGGGTGTCTTTGTGGATTCAGAACCTGGAAGGACATCAGGTGCCACCAGGGGCCACATAGGAGCGAGGTGGCGTGTGGGGCACACTGGGGAGTGGGTGGCCGGACGGGGCAGCCCCACTAGCTTCGGCTCACTGCCGCCTGCAGGATGGGCTGGGCGGCCAGCCCTCTGGTTCCTGCGCTGTTTGTTGTAGTTTAGTTTTCGCCTTTATAGGAGTCAGAGTGTAAGAAGGCAGATACCGGTGGTTGTACAGACATTCACAACGAAAAGAGGAAGCCTTTCCCACTCCTTCCCCTTCTCAGAGGCCTCAGCCTCTGCCCTCTAACCTGGTGTTTTGCTCAGTCCCTCCACCTTTCTAAACAACATGGTTATGCTGTAGTTTCTTCCTGAAAGCACTGCATATGTTAGCACAGAACACTGCAGGCCAACCCTGAGAGGCCCAAGGAAAGCCCGTGGGCTCACGGTTCGCTGCTTGCCGCTGGTCTGGATTTCCAGCGTGCCGGGTGGGGGCCACCGCTGGAGGGGAGAGGAAACTGGCGTGGGGTTGCCAAGGCTGCTTTTCCCAGAATTGACCGCCCCCCCCCGCCCCCCCGCCCCATGCCTGGCTGAGACTTGCAGGTCTCCGGGCTCCTCCTGTGATGCGTGCTCTGCCTCTGCTGCAGGACGGTGGCTGTCAGCCACACACACTCAGTGGCCAGGGTCATTCTGCCAAGGGCAGTGGTCTTCTTGTGTAGGTGGCTCTACAGGAAGATGGCGCCCCAGGCCTCATGGGTGCTATTTGCCCCCTGGTGTGGGCTGCATGCTTAGCGTCTCAGAACACTCCCACTGCCTGGCCGCACGCAGGACCCACAGCGTCTGTGCTGGGGCATCGCTGGACCCAAGGGGCCAGGGTGGAACCAGCGGAGACAGCAGAAAGGCTCGGAGGAAGGCAGTTCTCCACCCGGGAAGCCTCTTCCTGGACCCGAATCCCGGCGGACCGCACCCGCCATTCACTGTGCGCTGAGGAGCAGGGAACAAAAGGGAAGACGGGGTGCTGTGCGTTCTCAGACACAGCCACTTCACGTGTAAGGGAAGCGTGAGCGCTCCCCAAGGTGGGCACGGAGTGGAAACTGAAGACCTCTGTCTGGAATTCCTGGGTGTGGAGTCCCCACGATGGCTGCCCTCAAGCTCGTTAAAACACATGGCCCAGACCCCACTCCCAGCGAACGTGACTCGGAAGTGGGGTGGGCCCAGGACCTGGCTTTCAGTGAGCCGCCAGGTGACTCTGAGGCAGAGCCAGGCTGGGAGGGCCCCTTATTTGTCAGATGGGCACACGGGGCCTCCGTGAGGACCCTCTGGCTGGGGGTGGCGGAAGCTGGGACTGGAATCCCGAGGTCAGAACTCCCATCCCCGTGCTCTCCGCTGTCATCAGGTGCCTCCGTTTGGGGAGTTTCTCTGAAGGGGGAGCGGCTTGCCCTCAGCAGCCGCAGCAGGAAGAGCTGAGACCTCGGGCCCATCATGGCGTGCGTGGCAGTGACAGGCCACAGAAGGGGTTCACGTCGGTTGCTCTGAAGGCAGCCCATCACTGGAGGGTTTCGGGAAGGATGAGCAGCTGCTTGGCTGGGAGGTTCCCGAGTGGGGTACACACCCCAGAGGCCTCCTCTGCAGCTCCGGTGACCCGGCCTTTCCCTGGGACAGAAGAGCGAGGGCAGAAGTCACGCCGGAAGAATGTGGTCCTGCCTGCTTTCCATGGCACAGCCAGAGGGCGAGGGTGGGTCAGCCGGGATCCCATGAAGCCGGCCCACGCAGGGTGGGGCGCGCCACATCCTCTCGGGGCGGGGCAGGATTTCGGAAACCTTGCTGTGGGATGCAGAGCCCATGGGCTGAAGCAGGAGCCAGCAGTCTGCCCCCCTCCAGGCCTAGACGGGGCAGCGTGTGCCCGAGGCCGCCTTGACCAGAAACGCGGTGCTGAGCCCCGGTGGCATGTGACCACCTTGAGGAGAGCTCGCTACCTCCCAGCACCCGCTTCACCTTGGCTCACACCTCAGGATGGCTGGGCGCCTGTCCCTGTCTGCCCCAGCTCTCACGGGGGATCAGTTTCATGCAGACAGTAAATTATAAATCTTTTAAAAAGCAAGACACACGAGGCCAGAACAAGGAGACAAATTTGATTTGTACCAGAGACAAACAGGGTTTGCCTGTGGGCTGAGTTGGGCTATGGAGCTGCCTACAGAACCTTGAAAGGTGAGAGTCATGGTTTCCTGGGGCAACAGATCTGCCCCTCACCCCTGAGGTTCTGAGGCCCAGCATGTCCCCCCGTGTCCTCTCAGTCCTCACAGCCTGTCCTCACAGCCACCTCCCTCCAGGGCCACACCTGGCGCACCCTCCACTCGCCCTACTTGGTTTGGGTGGGGGGGAGGTGCTTTGCCCACCACTGCCCTTTGCCTGATATCTCCCTCCCCGCTTTGCTCTCAAAAACACACTGGGACAAGCCCAGAGCAAAAGCTGGGGGGTGCGATGCATTTCCCGGAGGTACAGGTAATATCAGAAATGGCTGTCTTAAGCAGGGAAAAGGGAAATTAGCTGTTAGGGTGGTAGGACCCTGGCTGATTTTCACCCCAATTTTTAAAATCCGTGTTATTCTTCAGTGTTAAAGCCCCCACACACAAGCACAACAGCCTTTCTGCACTGGCTGTCTTGTTTGCTCTCAAGCCAGCGTCTCTGCTTCTCTTGTTAGTTCTTCGCACACTCGTGGGACACAAGGCCAACATCTGCAGCCTGGATTTCCACCCCTACGGCGAGTTTGTGGCCTCGGGTTCCCAGGACACCAACATCAAGGTGAGATGCCCCTCAGCCCTGTGTCTCCGCTGGCTGGCAGCGGGATGGCATGTCCTGCCTGAGGGGTGGGTTTTCAGCTCCTTGTGGGGGTGTCTTCTCTGTGCGGCAACGTTCACACCCTCCTAGAGAAGGGAGGTGTGACATTTCTGCTTGGAATTCCCAGTTTTATTTTTTAAAATAGGTTTTTATTGATTTCAGAGAGGAAGGGAGAGGGAGAGAGAGAGAAACAATGATGAGAATCATTGATCAGCTGCCTCCTGCATGCCCCCTACTTGGGATTAAGTACACAACCCAGGCATGTGCCCCACCTGGGAACTGGACCATGACCTCCTGGTTCATAGGTCAGCGCTCAATCAGAGTCATGCCGGCCAAGCGGAATTCCCAGCTTCAGTGAGCAGTTTCCAGACCTCTGTCATTTTGGGGTGTAATGACTTAGAGCAGTGACGGCGAACCTTTTGAGCTCCATGTGTCAGCATTTTGAAAAACCCTAACTTAACTCTGGTGCCGTGTCACATATAGAAATTTTTTGAATTTGCAACCATAGTAAAACAAAGATTTATATTTTTGATATTGATTTTATATAAATGCCATTTAACAAAGAAAAATCAACCAAAAAAATGAGTTCGCGTGTCACCTCTGACATGTGTGTCATAGGTTCACCATCACTGACTTGGAGGCACCCAGGTCCCTTCTCTGTTCACAGCCACACCCTGGCTTCCGGCCCAGGCTTTAGGCCCCCCACCCTAAGCCCAGCCTTGGTTGTACCTGTGCTGACTGCCCCTCTGCTCCTCTCCCCGCAGCTCTGGGACATCAGGAGGAAAGGCTGTGTCTTCCGGTACAGGGTAAGGAAGGCATGGAGCATGTGGTGCCCACTGGCAGGGGCTGGAGGGCATTGCCGTCCAACGTGGGGGAGAGCGTGAGAAACGTGAATCGAGCAGAGCAGGGTGCTGTGCGTGGTCCACCTGGACGCCAGCTCTCCACGAATCCCCCAGAACCGCGCTCACCAAACCGTTGTGCTCCGTGCCTGGCTTTACAGGCAGGGAGCCGGTGTGGTCATGGGAGGGGTGCCTGTTCATAGGGGTTTGGAAGCACTAAGCTTAACAATTATTTTTAGAGATTTTTATTACTTTATTTTTAGAGGTTTTTAGACCCTTTGACATGAAGAGAGGGCCCTTAACTCTAAAAAGAAGCATAAGACTGACCGTGCAGTCTTGGTTTCCTGGAGCCCCTGCAGGCCTGGGAGTCCATAGTCCCCCTGGGAAGTGTCCCTCTGTGGCATCTCCTACATGTCTTCGCCTCATTGCCTGCACCCCAGGACGCACTGCTTGTCGAAGGCCGGATGGAGTGGGGTGGTGGGGAGGGAGGGTCCTGGGCCAGGCCCCGAGGGTGAGCCGGTGCTCTGTCCTCCTCAGGGGCACAGCCAGGCCGTGCGGTGTCTCCGGTTCAGCCCCGACGGGAAGTGGTTGGCATCGGCTGCAGATGACCACACAGTGAAGGTAGCTCCCAGCCGGACCCGGGCCCAGGGCTGGGGCCTGGCGGCTGCTGGTCACACTCAGGCTGGTCCCCACCGCCCTCCTTGGGGTTGCTGTCCCAAGCTGTGCGGATGGGAAGGTGGTGTGTGGACAGAGCCTGGGCTGGACCGGAGGGAGAGCGGGCAGCTGCGGTGCCCGGCCTGGTCCTGACCTCCACCCGCCCTGCCCTAGCTCTGGGATCTGACTGCCGGCAAAATGATGTCCGAGTTCCCTGGCCACACGGGGCCCGTCAACGTGGTGGAGTTTCACCCCAACGAGTACCTCCTGGCTTCCGGCAGCTCTGACAGGTGAGAAGGAGAAGCAGGGCCCGTCGCCTGTGACTGCCGCTCCTCACATCTCTGCCTGAGTGTATGTATATCTGTCCCCATCTGTCTCTGTCCCAGGGTGTCATATGCCTGATGGGCCTCTGTAGGCTGAGCAACTGCCAGCCCAAGTGGGACTTTGGTTCCCGGCCTGTGTCCTGGGCCTTCAAGGGCATGTCCAGTCCAAGGCCCATGTTGGCCTCCCACTGTGTCCCCTCCCCCTGCCTGTCCAGGGCCAGCCCTGGCCCAAGGCATTGCTCTTATTGGCCCTGAGGGGTTCTGGGGGGGGGGGGCGGGTAATAGGGGGAGAGAAGGCCTGTGTGGAGCCAGGGCTCTGGCTTCCCAGCACAACCTGGCTGCCTTTGCAGGACCATCCGCTTCTGGGACCTGGAGAAATTCCAGGTGGTGAGCTGCATCGAAGGGGAGCCGGGGCCTGTCAGGTACGCAGGCCACTGGGCGGTGGGCAGCCCTTCCTGGGGGATGAGGTGGATGCGGGTGGGCTTTCCCTCTCAGCTTCTGCTCCCTCCTGTCCCGGGCTCCCCGCAGCCTCCCCGGTTCCTGGGACCCATGGCCCTCTCTCGCCTGCCCAGGAGCATCCTCTTCAACCCCGACGGCTGCTGCCTGTACAGCGGCTGCCAGGACTCGTTGCGCGTCTACGGCTGGGAGCCCGAGCGCTGCTTTGACGTGGTCCTCGTCAACTGGGGCAAGGTGGCCGACCTGGCCATCTGCAATAACCAGCTGGTGAGGCCGCCGCCCGCACCCACCCTCCCTCCGCCTGCCCAGCTGCTCCCACAAGCCCAGCAGGACCCACTCCCACCGGCCCTGCGGGGATCCTGCCCACCCATCCCCTAGCCGCTGCTCTGCTGCTTCCTGCAGATAGGCGTGGCCTTCGCCCAGAGCAACGTCTCCTCTTATGTGGTGGACCTGACCCGGGTCACCAGGACAGGCACGGAGGCCCAGGACCCCGTGCAGGACAGCCGGCTCCTGACGCAGCAGCCGCCCCTCCCCACCGCCCCCCTGCGGCGTATCTACGAGCGGCCCAGCACAACCTGCAGCAAGCCTCAGAGGTGGGCTCGGGGCTCGCGGGGCACAGGACATGGGTCTGACCCTGGGAAAGCTTTGGGGGACCAAGCCTGGCCTCACTGGCCTATCCGTCCTCCTCGTGCCGCCCGCAGGGTGAAGCAGAACTCGGAGAGCGAGCGCCGCAGCCCCAGCAGCGAGGACGACCGGGACGAGCGGGAGTCTCGTGCGGAGATTCAGAACGCGGAGGACTACAATGAGATCTTCCAGCCCAAGAACAGCATCAGTGAGGCCTGGCTTCCCCCGCCCCTCCGTGAACCCTAGCACCCCACCTGTGAAATGCAGATGATCCTTTCTGGAGACGGCAGCCATGCAGCTCCCTTAGTTCCTAACCCACACACACCAGGCCAGCTCTCTCCCCAGGAACTCTAGGCCCTGGCAGAGCCCTGGCAGCCACTCAGTGCCCTGCCCACCACAGGGGCGAATGGGTGGGAAGGGGCGGGACTGAGGGTTTGTGGGCCCCCAAGTGCATCCCCCAAGTCCTGACAGGGCCCTGGGGACGCAGACAGGAACCCTGGGCAGCTGACACGAGTCCCCAACCACTCTCCCCTCTACAGGTCGGACACCACCTCGAAGAAGCGAGCCCTTCCCAGCACCCCCAGAGGATGGTGAGTCAGGGTGGGGCAGAGCTGGGCTTCCAGCTCCTCAGTCCTCTCCCCTCCGAGCCCTTGCCTTCCCCTCTGTGGCACAGATTCAGCCTCTGCCACTCACTCGAGAGCACCTACTATGTGCCAGGCCCCGGGCTAGTCCCTGGTGGTTAGGTGTGAACAGGGTAGGCAGGTGCTCCTCCCAAGCCCACAGATGAGTCCAGAAACAGGACACGTGCTGTGGAGGGACAAGCTGGGCCCGCTATAGATGGGGGCCTTGTGGCTCTCAGCCCCTCACCACCAGCGCCCCCGGCACACACATTCCTAGTGAGCTGGCAGATCGCCCCACCCTGGAGCTCCCTGGTCCCATCGACTCACAGGGCTAGATGCCTGCTTTCTGCCAGGCCTGGGACTGGGTAGGTGGAAAGTGGGGGACAGTCCAGCCCCTGCCCTTAGGCCTCCCCAGGACCCACACTGCTGACGTCTCCCTCTCCACTGCCCGCTGGCTCCTGCCCTGTCCCCCTCGGTTACAGATGGGGTCCAGGTTCCCCCCCTGCCTTCTTCCTGACCAGAAATCTTTTCCTTCTGCCCCCAGACGTGGCCACAGCCAAGGAGGCAGCACAGCCCAGCCCAGCCATGGACACGCAGTTCCCGGTGCCAAACGTATGTCTGGGGAGAGGGCGTGTGTGAGACTCAGAGGGGCTGGAGCCCTGAACCAGGGTGAGGGGCTTCCCACCTGGGGGGCAGCGAGGGAGCCCTCAGGCTGGCTGTCCGCTGAGCCTCCGACCCCTCCAGCTCGAGGTCCCACCCTGGTCCCAGGTCGTCACTTCCACCCCCGCGCCCAAGGCTGAGCCTGCCATCATCCCTGCCGCCCGGAACGAGCCCATCGGCCTGAAGGCCTCCGACTTCCTGCCTGTGAGTGTGGGCCCGGCCCAGGGTGCGGGGAGGCCCGTGGGCGAGGGCAGAGCTTCGTTGCCAGCATCTGGGCTTGTCCCACAGGCGGTGAAGATCCCCCAGCAGACAGAGCTGGTCGACGAGGATGCCATGTCGCAAATCCGCAAAGGCCACGACACCATGTGCGTGGTGCTCACCAGCCGCCACAAGAACTTGGACACCGTGAGGGCCGTGTGGACCACGGGCGACATCAAGGCAAGCGCCTGCCCCTGCCCCTGCCCCTGCCCTGGGCTTAGGGCCTGACTTGGGAGAGGGCCACAGGAACTGGCCGGTGGGGGGCAGGCAGCCCGTCACCACACTGGCTGACTTGATCGCTTCCATTCTCATCACAAGCTGCCATTTATTGCACACCTACCCCTGGGCCTGGCCTGTGCTGATCCTCTCAGGTGGCCTTATCACTATCCCCCAATAAAGCCACACACGCCTGGCAGGGCCCCTCTCCCTGTCCTCTGTCATCTCAGGTGGCCTTATCACTATCCCCCAATAAAGCCACACACGCCTGGCAGGGGCCCTCTCCCTGTCCTCTGTCATCTCAGGTGGCTTTATCACTCCCCCACAATAAGGCCCCTCACACACACACCACACCCAGCAGGGGCCCTCTCCCTGTCCTGACGGGCGCTCTGTTTACACAGACGTCGGTGGACTCAGCCATAGCCATCAATGACCTGTCGGTGGTGGTGGACCTCCTTAACATCGTCAACCAGAAAGCGTAAGTGGCTGCAGGGGGTGAGTGGGTGGAACAGGCAGGGCTGGGTGCTGAGGGCACCTGTCCCGGCCTCTCCCCAGCTCCCTGTGGAAGCTGGACCTCTGCACCACGGTCCTGCCGCAGATCGAGAAGCTCCTGCAGAGCAAGTATGAGAGGTACGCAGAGAAGCCCCGCCTCCTCACAGCAGGGAGGACAGAGGCTTGGGCAGACCCCCAGGGGGTGCCCACGGGAGGTGGCTGTGCTGCCCACTGCAAGTTCCCGAGGCCACGGTGGAAACAAGCCCGTGCTGCCTCTCATCCTCTGCCCCTGTGTACTTGCTGTCTGTCTGTCTGTGGCTCCATCCATCCGCCTGCCTCTGCAGCTATGTCCAGACGGGCTGCACCTCCCTGAAGCTGATCCTACAGCGCTTTCTGCCCCTCATCACTGACATCCTGGCAGCCCCGCCCTCTGTGGGTGTCGACATCAGCCGGGAAGAGAGGTGAGGGACCAGGCAGTGTGCCTGTTAGGGCAGGGGTGCCAGGCCAGGTGAGGCACACAGCCCACTGTTGATGGCCCTGCTGCTACAGCTATTACAGAAGGTCACTGCCTGGGACAAACCCCCAACTCAGGAGGGAGGGTGGGGTGAGCCAGAGCTTGGGTTCCTCCATAGCTGGCTCTGCCCTGAGCCCGGGTGTCACCTGGCACGGCCTGGGAGCGCGGCGGGAGTGGTTAGTGCTCCCTCTGCCCACAGGCTGCACAAGTGCCGGCTCTGCTATAAGCAGCTCAAGAGCATCAGCAGCCTCGTCAGGACCAAGTCGGGCCTGAGTGGCCGCCACGGCAGTGCCTTCCGGGAGCTGCACCTGCTCATGGCCAGTTTGGACTGAGGAACCCACTGGATGGCGGCACCAGGCAACCCTCGGGGCCTGGCCTCCACCCCCACTCCTGTTACCTGTGCACCCACCGGCCCATGAGCTTCTGCCCTGTGGCCATCCTGGAGGCGGCGGCGCTGGCCCACTGGCCACCTCCACAGCCCTGAACTCAGACAACTTCTGTCCAGCTATGGCTGCCCAGCTTTGCCTAATTCTTGCTTCTTGGGGCAGCCAACCAAGCCCTGGGGCTGCTGCTGTAATTTATAAGACAAATTTTATTAAATTTGTAATTATTCCCTGGTTTTCTTGCCCGAAGGGGCATCTCTGGCCACAGGGCTCTCCCAGGTGCAGGATTGCAGGCAGAGGCTTGCGCCAGGCTGTGTGGCCAGCAGGGGGCAGCAGAGTGCCAGGCCAACAGGAAAGGGCAGCTTCAGACTTATTCTGGGGAAGTCTTCCCCCTCGGCTGGGAGACAGGTGAGAGGCGGCCCCCATCCCGTCTCAGCCACACTCCCAGCTGTCCTGTGGATGCCTCCAAGCCGACAGCTGCAGGATGCCAGGACC